AGTACAGCGGTCTGGAGTTCGGGCTCGGTAGTGAGCTTGGACTTGCTTCCGATGTTCGCTTCGGGCACTCTACTGTCCCGAGCTGCTTGCCTTTGCCACGTGTCGGGCGATCGCGAGGTCGGGCCAAATTTCCTTTCATCCCCACTCATTTTGCCACATCATTGAGCTCTTAGCGTCTGGCCATATCACCCATCCTCCTATTTCACTGTCATAATAAATATTAATTTATTATTATATGAAATTAATTATATATTTATCTAAAATAATTATTTATTTTTAGATTTGATTTGGCTGTGTATTCAATAGTAATGAGACTACGATTTCGTAATGTGTTTTGTATGAATTCTGGACATTTGCGGTCCTCACAGTACTGACTCCGTATATATTGATGCCATTTGGGACCGCTTAAGTCTTTAATCTGGTGGTCAATGTTTGCTTTTGAAGCAAAAAAAGTTGAAAAAGATTGAACGGGTATTGCACTGACTGAATCCGGTTTCGAAACAGTGATATCGTCTACCAAGAGAAATTTAAGGTCGAAGGAGGGAGAAGAAGAGGGAGAGAGATGGGGTTTTGGGATGCAGTGAACTCAACGACTGATACAATCAAAAGAAATGTCCCCGACACCATTTCCGTCACAAACTCCGTTAGTTCAGTGGCGGATACTATCAAGCAAAACATCCCCGATATGACTCCCGTTGCGAACGCCGTGAACAAGATCGGTGACACCGTAAGAGTCAAAGAAGTTCAAAAGCTGAAAGAAAACCTTCCCGACTCAGAAGGCTGGAAGGAGATCGGCCGTTCTGTGAAAGACGTGGTTGATGGACCTGCCGGCGAAGAGGTGTCCAAACTCTTTCCAGGTCCGCTAGCTTTTCCATTCTGTTTTTTTCCATCGGTCTCTTATTTTCATTGTTTGCAGTTGGATTAATCATTCCCAGGTAGTGTGTTTGATCTTTTGGGCACCCCGTGTCTTCTCTGTCCTGATTATGGAATCGGATGAAATTGATTAGTCCTGTTTTTGGTAGGAGGAGGTTCAGCTTATAGGATTTATAAAGGGTTGAATCCAAAGCGGGATGAAGTGAAAGATCTTAAGCAAGAAGTAAAGGGTATGAGAGCAGAGATTGAGAAACTGAAGAAAGATCGGGCACCTCGTTTGGACGCAGAAGAAGGATTCAAGATCACAGATTTCTTTGGTGATCAGTTCTGTTAGAAGCGGGTTCTTGTAAATGACTACTTCCTATTTGACTTGAGTGCCCTGACTCCTGAGTATGTTCATGAATCATGATGGAACTAGGATCTTTTAAAGTTTAAATTTATTAGAAATCTAGAATCATGATAAATTGTACGGAGACTGGAGATATGGACAAATTCTTCGTCATTGTTTAGTGTTCGTGGGTGTTATATTTAAGCTTCAAAATGCCTGTGAATTGTGAATCAGACCCCAATTGCCACAGGTTTCAGTTAGCTTGGCTTCGAGCAATCTCTGGAACACCATTTGTAGGGTTCATTAGCACGAGTCGGTCTTCTAACTCGTTTAGAGCTCAATTGAATAACTCGGAAACTTTAAGATGTTTCCCGGATTGTTCCAATAGCCGACTGACTGCTCACTGCTCATACTGCTTCATGCTTTAAAGTTGGTTTTGGCTTTGAACTATGAAAGAGGAAAGTGGCATTAGAAAGATGATTTAAGACCTAAGAAGAAAAAAATTCTTAAGCTGTGTTTGGTATGATAGAAAATATGGGAAAAACAGAAACTCGAGGAAAACTCACAAAATTTGTCAAAGAACTTTCCCCTCAATCTTTTGTTTCTCTCTTATTTTCATTTTCTGTCAAACCAAACATAGCCTTAACGCTTAATCCAGTTCTTTGGAGGAAGGCACCATCCAGTGGTAGTGGGGATTGGGCAACAACTCCGTACGCCAGGTTGTTTGGTGTGGCCTCTCACAAGGAGAAATATAAAGAAAAAGAAAAACCCAGCTCCAACCCCACTCAAACTAACGTAATAGTTAAGGTTTTGGTTAGAGTAGTTACCAGAGATATTTAGGTTTTTATATTTTCTCTTTGAGACTAGTCAGTATTTCTTTTCCTGTTTCATAAACTTAAATTGCTTTTTGGAATTAAAAAAAAAAAGTATAAAGGTATTTTCCATCCAAGGGTACAACTTGGCATCCAATCCGATACAAGTTTTGGCACAGGTTGGGCCAGTATTTTCGGGTTAAAGGCTAGGACTAATCTAAAAAATTTGAGCCCAACCTAAATACGGGTCAAGCTTGGTTTCGGGCCTGTGCGTTGGGTAATCTAAGCTTGCCCAATCCAATACATACATATATATATATATATATGCACACACAATTTATATATATTTCATATATTCTACTTTTTTATTGGTCATAAAGTCTAATATCTATATCTATACTATTTTAAAAAGCATGAATAGCCTCAAAAATATTTCTGGAATTTTTTGAGGATAAAATTTGCCCCTATATATTTAAATTTATTGATAAAAATGAGGGCAAATAGGGTAATTGATTATTGATACTAAATGAGTTGAAAAAATGTCATTTTAAGATGTTCAATACATTCAATTACCTCTCATTAAATCCAATATTTAAGATATTAATTTGCATTCACCTTCATTCAATCATATATTTAAGTCATTTTTCTCATTATTAAATTCTATTAATTAAATCCATACATTATAAATTAATAATTCTAATAACATAAAAAAATTATACTTTTAAAATCTACCTAAAAATAGTATTTTCATCTAGGTGGAGGTAAGAAATTAAACCATTTTGGGTCAGATGGGCCAATCCATGTTGCCACAATTAAATAATAAAATTTAAAAATAGATAAAATATAAAAAAATAAGATATTAAAGGAAATGCATTATCTAGATGGAGGTAAGAAATTAAACCATTTTGGGTCAAATGGGTCAACTCGTGTTACTACAATTAAATAATAAAATTCAAAAATAGATAAAATGTAAAAATATAGAAATTAAAAAATGGAGCATTTTTTACATCATATATTCAACATATTAAACAATAATAAGTATGATAAATAAGAAATATTTTTTATTAATAATGGAAATGGAATGTAAAATGTAAAACCAATTAGAAATAAAATTATTTTCCTATTCTCTCTCATTGAGTCTCATATCTAAGGTATATTCTCTCATTGAGTCTCATATCTAAAATTATTTATCTCATCATTAAATTCAATTAATTAAATCCACAACATTAATTTTAATAGTATAAAAATAAACATTTTGAAAAGTAATTTGAAAACAAAACTGATGATGCGCAATCCGATCGATCCTAGCTGCCAGTTACCTCGCCTCTGATGGAATTGGAAGTGCCTGAAACAAGGAAGAACTTGGAGACTTCCGGGGCGGAACCCGGTTGGAACACTCCGAAGCTCAAGTTAGTGCTCTTGAGAAGGCAAGGGGAAACAATGGATTTCAAGACCAGAAAGCACAAAATATCACATACCTCATTCTTTGAGAGAGGGGGGCCTTTTATAATCACCCTGTACACTTACTTCCATACCTCTGACAGTTCGGGTATCATTACCTCCGCCAGATTGGGTGTCATTTCCTCTGCCAGATCGGGTGTCATTTCCTCTACCAGATCGGGTGTCATAACCTCTGCCAGTTGCCAGTTCGGGTGTCATAACCTCCACTGCCAGTTGCTAGGGCCATCTCTCCCCCGTCTGAGATGGCGGTGGCAGGTGGCCATTGGAGGGCGGCTGTCATGTGTCGGACCCCTAATCAGTCAGGTGTTCCGCCTCCATGTACGGGTTTCCTGGGCGTCAGGTACGGTTGTTCAGTCAGGCGACTTGGAGCTGAAGTGGTGTGCGAGGTGAAGTCTTGAGTTCGGACAGAAGTGCGGCCCGAACTGCCCCGGGGTGGGTCAGCTCAGGTCTTTGCCCTTTGCGCTCCTTGTAAGGCTCAGGACCTCCAAGGGGAGAGCTCGGGTTCTTCCTTGGGGGAGCTCGGGTCGTAGGTTCCTTCTTTGGGGAAGCTCAGGACTCCTTTCCTCGGAGCTCGGGTTGTGGGCCCGCTGCCGTGCTGAGCTGGTGCTTCTGCCAGGTCACTCTCGGTTGCTTCCACCTGTCGCATGGCCAAGGGGTCGGGCCAAATCTCCCTCCATCAATTGGCCCCCACTCCCTGTGCTCGGGGTCCTGACCCGGCGTGGGGAGTTCACGGGATGATGGGTGAATTTGCCTCGTGATGCTTTGGCCTTGGTTTGGAGCTTCTCCGGACCTGCTTGTGTTCTTGGTCCAATCAGGGTCAGCTTGGTTCGACCAGGGGTCAATCCCGGGTTGCATGCAGCCCATGCGCAGGCGCGATACGATTTTGAATTGTCAAAAGTGCGCGCTAAACTCACTTCTCCTCAGGGGGCACACAACCGGTTTTGCGGGGAGCCATTGGATGGTTTTGATCTTGGCCGTTGATGCGCGAGTACAGTGGCTATAAATAGTGGGGGGGCCTTGGTCACTTTCCTTCGCCATTCTTCAGCATTCGTTTCTTGAGCTCGCGTCCAAGGCTGTCAGCTCGTGTCAACTTTCGTAGTCTTGTAGCTTTTCTTGGTGAGTCCTCAGCCCTCTATGTTTCGATGTCTAGCTCGGGTAGTTTAGATAGTCTCCTGGGGGTTCTGATGCTGGTTCTATGAACCGAGCTGCTGCCTCCGACAGCCTTAGTGAGTCCGAGGCGGGGCCCGAGGTAGAGCTCGAGTTTGAGCCCGTAGGCTAAATCACCTCGGGTAGTTTGGCATCCACCTCCCGTCGAGGTCGGGTGCCAGATAAGTTCGGACCTTCCACTATGATGCCCGAGAGGCTTTGGTCCCTTATCGCCTAGTACAACCTGCCCGGGGAGTATACTTATATTTTACCCTCGGGCGACTTTCCTTGGGAGCACGGTCCGGACGAGATCGTGATATTCCGGGAGCAGCTTGTTGCCAGGCTGCGCCTTCCCTTCCATCCCCTTATCGTCAAGGACATGAACCACTTCGGTGTCACTGTAGGTTAGCTTCACCCGAACTCCATCCGTAACCTTGTCGGGACCATCTCCCTTTGCTGTGAACACTACCTTCCCTTGGACCTGGAAAATTTTTCCACTATTCTCATGCTTAAGAAACAAGTGGGTCCCCTGCCCGGGCATAGGAGGGCGTACTACTTGTCACCTTGCCCGAGATTCAAGCTCTTACACGATCTCCCAAATAAGGTCCCAGCATGGAAGCGGGACTACTTCGTGGTTCGAAGTGCTACAGAGTGGCCGTTTCCTACTGAGTGGGGGTTGGCCGTTCCTGACCCTGGTGTCGCATTAGACGAAGATACGGTGAAGGACCTCTAGAACTGGGCTGGCTTGGGCTCAAATGCGAAGTCTACCTGACGGAGGACAAGCTTATTCAGGCCGGTCTGAGTTCGGGTAGGTTTCTTGCTCAGATAAAGATACTTTTGCTTTTGTTTTTATTTTCGTCTTTTGATGCCGAGCTCCTTTTTGCAGGTGTTATGGAGGCAGAGAAGACTCGAGGTGCGAGTCTGTTCAATGGTATGAAGAGGAGGAGGCGAGCTGCTAAGCGGGTCCGCGCCGATCTTTCTCGGGTTGTGGAGCCCGAGGCACCGAGAATGGCCCCTCCATTCAGGAAGCGGTAGGCGTCCCCTATGTCGAAACAGCTTATACCCGAGCTGTGCCTTCAGGCTCGGGAAGTCAGGTTGAGGTTGGGAGCGTGCTGACGCCGAGCTACGCTCTCCGAAAAAGTAAGAAGGCTACTTGCCCTAAGGAGGTCGTGGCGTGGGTCGATCTTCCTACGAATCGCATAGGCGCTCGTGCTGCATCTCACGCCATGGTGGTAAGTCAGAGTAGTGTTTTTTTTTATTTTTTATTTTTTTTACCGAGCTGATTTGTTCTCGTTCTGGCAGGTGAACTCCTCTATCCATGCTTTGGCAATCCAAGCAGAGAGGGGCTTGAAGCGAGCGCAAGCTGCCGAAGTGGTTTCCTGTGCTGCGCGAGCCGAGCTAACGAGGTCTCTGAGGGACAAAGAGGCCTTAGGAATGGTGGTGAGACACATGGTGGACCTGAAGTTGGACCTGGAGCATCAGATCGAGTACCTTCAGGATGATATCAGGGAGAAGACTCAGTTCTTTTAGGCCATCGAGGAGGCGAATGTGAAAACCGTCGATGATTACATCGCTTCACCGCACTTTGACGATATGATGGTGGGCTCGTACAGAAGGGGTTTCAAGTTGAGCCGATGGATGATAAGGAACGTACCCCGAGCTCGACATTAGTGCCATAACCACTTTGCGCATCACTCAGGAGATGGCCGCCGCAGCTAATGATGACGTGGATTCCGAAGACGAAGCAGGACCTTCGGGTATTACCGAAGTCCCTTCTGAAGGTGAGGAAGATGTACTTCCGGGCTTGTGAGCTCGTTTGTGCTTTTGTTTTCTGTTTTTTG